AAATTTAAAAATTTCACAATAGTAATTTAATCTCCAATAATTATTGAAAAAATTCTATTAAATAACTAAACAAAATATATTTATACATACTTATTGAAAATACATTTATCACAAAAGACAATAAATATTAATTTTAGTATATATAATTATATAATAAATCTAGATTAAGAGTTTAAAATTATTATTAATAAATATTAATTTTTTGAAAGTTATTTTCTCATATTATTACTTGATATAAGTGAAATTAATTATTTACAATATTATGTAAAAATATTAAATTATTATTAATTTCAATATTATGTTATAATTATTTTTCTACTTTTTAGATCTTTTTAAATTTATTTATTTTAACTATTTAAAATCTAGTTATGATAAATATTTTGTTATTTAAAATATTTTGTTATTTAAATACTTAAATAATATGTAAAATATTTAAGTTTTAAATATTAATTGTTTTTTAATTATCCATAAAATCATAATTTATACTATGATTACATGATTTCATTATTAAATTTGTAATATATTAAATTATTATTATTAATTTAACTATTATGTTATAATTATTTTTCTACTTTGAAGAAATTTTTTAAATTTATTACATAATTTCGTTATTTTAACTATTTGAAATCTAGTTATGATAAATATTTAAATAATCTATAAAATATTTAATTTTTTTGTTATTTGAATGTTATTTATTTAAAGCTGTTACATATTATTAATTATTTTAAAACATTAAAATTGATAATTTAGAAAAAATAATTTTAATTTGTTATTACATAATTTCGTGATATATTTTATGAAAATATAAAATTATTTTTTGTGTTTTTAATAAATATTTTAAAGTTATTTTATAATTTTGTTAATATTTAAATATTTTTTAATTTTTTAATCCAAAATTTCTTTAGATAGATATAGATAAAAAGTAGGGGAGAGGATAAATAGGAATTAGAGATAATTTAAGAGATAAACTCTCTACTAAATTAGAGATAATTTTGGAGATAAATAGGAATTAGAGATAATTTAGAAGATAAATAAGAATTAGAGATAATTTTGGAGCAAATGGGGGATAGTGGAGGAGGTAGTTTAGAAGTAATTTTAGGAGGAGATTATTTAGGTTATTGAGAAAGTGTTTCTCATTGATTATTTCAAAAATGACATGAAATTAAAAAAAGAAAAAAATAGATAAATAATTTCTCTCAAAAGAGACATACTGAAGACCAGTTTTAATATATATATATATATATATATATATATATATTAGCTCTCTTTTAAGGGAGGCCCGTATCTACCTTAAGTCGTTAACCTTAGAATTATGTTTGAATTCCTAGTTTCCTACTCTACCTGATCGGAATCCGATCTACACTCGACAGACTTTTTTTTTGGGGATGTTCCGTGAATCGTGATGGTGAGAGAGAGAGCCATAGAGGTGGTAAGAAGCGGGATTAAACAAAACAGAGCCACGAATTTAAATACATCGCATGAGGCAACGGGACAGACATCATCCCCCGGATCGAACCCGATATTTGATCGAAGAATGAGATAAAGGAGAATCCATCCACTCCCATGTCCATGAATATGCATGAAATCTCTCTCCCTCTTACTGTACCACTTATCACACTCTCTCGTAGTCGTAGTCCGCCTTCAACCCAATTTGCTCAGGGTTGTTTTCTCTGCCTCACGAAGCAAGCAATAGCTTCGATACCCCTTTCCACATATGGCCATAGGAGTGGTTTCAAGCTTCTTGTCTTCGCTCCACATTCCCTTTCTCCTAGTTTTAACAACACCAAGAAGCGAAGTAGTAACCATGTTCATTTGAGAGCGAGCCGTAGAGAGTCTCCTTACGAGGTGCTAGGTGTTTCTCCCTCTGCAACCCCTGAAGAAATCAAAAGGGCTTATCGTAAACTTGCTCTGAAGTTCCACCCTGATGTCAACAAAGAGGTACAAACTCCTCCTATGAGCTCTCAATTTAGTTATATCGAATGCTCCAACGATATGTCTATGTTTCTGACCCGGAATTGAGGTTTTGTGGCTCTCTCTACTTCTCGGATGATCTCTGCTATACTCGGTAATCCAAGTTTAAAGAAACCCCCTTAGTTCTTGGGTTAGGATATGAGGCCTATATGTAATTCGTATTTGAAATCTTTTAGTTTAGGGTAAAAGTTCATTTCGATAACTATATGATTTCAATTCGGTATCAAGAGGAACCTTTGCAAAATTCCACATGATAAATTCATTAGATATGAAATAGTTATTTGGAAATAAGAGGAAATTACAGTAACATAGTTTGAACTTCTTTTCCTACGTTACAAATCACTGCATCTTTATTCTTCTTAATATAAAAAATTTTTATTAAAAATAAAGAAAAAATGAGATCCCCTTACTCTTCATCCTCTTCCCCTTCCTTCTCCTAACCCCCCCTCCTCTTAAGGAGGCGCAAACCTCCTTGTGTTCGGGAGGCTTACGCCACTTGCCTTCTGAATTATGCCTCACGCCTCTAGGTAGTGGAACTCCATCATGCCTCAGCGTTTTAAAAAATTGCTTCCTACTGTTGAATGTGCTTCATCGGTTCCACCAGTCACTCCTTCACCACCTATACTCTAACAAGTGCGACTCTTTCTATGGATACTTAGCTGCTCTGAAAAAGTAGGAAAAACGGAGCAGCAAGTTTTTTTTTTTCTTGTTTTTCTTTTTTTTTTTTTTTTGCATTTTCTGATCTATGAAAAGCTTAAACAGGAACCACCTCAGACTTCTAAAACATGGCCCTTCATTGTATTCTTTGATGAAAACAAATTTTCCACCACATATATTTTACTTTACCTAGGAGTGATTTATGTTTTTTTGAAGCACCTTTCCCTAGGAATTGGTTGGGATTGGATTTAAGGCAGAGTACTTGAAGTAACCAAATGGTGTATAGGTAGTATAGACATAAATGACCAGCTAGTGTGCAAGATAAGTGCCATTTTTTGCATCAAACATTATGTGGCAACAAAGGCAACATTTTAGACCTTTTTTTGTGAGAAAACATTACCTGCGTGCGGAACAACTCAACTACCCTCCAGTGATTTTTTAACACGCCAGTGTGTTAATCAGGTACCGGTGTGACATGATATTTTGTCTTTTCCACCATGCCACTGGGGGTCGTTGAGTTGTTCTGTGACCCTGGCCGCAGGTAACTCTTCCTCCTTTTTTGCGGATACACAATGTAGAATCCAAAAATATGAACTATTTTAGTGCTATATACTTTTCCATAGATGTTTCTGCAAGTCTATGTTTTCTCATCTTGCCAAGTCAGACCCTTTGACACATGTTAGATTCTAATTTGTGTCCATGTTCATGTGATACTGTGTATAGGCTATGGTGAATTTCAAAGGTGAATGGGCACTTATTGTAAATGGATATATTTACTGGAACTCTGGAAGGCATATAGATCATTTGCAATGTGGAAGGAAAGGGTGTGTTAATCAAAACTGTCGATTAGATTGCGTAGTCTTTATATGGGCAATGTTTGCAGTGTCAATTCTGTGTCTTCAGTGTATCCTAGCCACTGGTTTAATGCTTTTATTTTAGAACTCCTATAGGAAATTCTTTATTTTGCAAAATTGGCAGGGATTGTTAGGTTAATATTTGTAGATAGGAAATTCTAGTAGGTTTGAAGCTGTTTTCAGCTTTTAAGGTTGAAGACTTCTTCAGGGTTTGGGGACTTATTGCTGCTTCATCATCTACGAGACAACAGTTTGTTGAGACTTGGTCCCCTCCAACAGATGGTTGGAAGAAGCTAAACTTTGATGGGAGTTGTGTGGGTAACCCAGGCCCTTCAGGTATTGAGGGGGCCATTAGAGACGAAAATGGTTCCATCATTGCCTTGTACTCCGGTCCTGTGGAGGTGGGTGATGTGACAAGGGCAGAGTTTCTAGCTGCAGTATATGGGGTTGAGAAGGCTAAAGAGTTGGGGATAAATAGACTGGTCATCGAGGGAGACTAAAAAACTGTGATAAAATGGTTGCAGAAAGGGGAAGGGGTGATATGGCAGTTGAAGAATGATTTCAGAAGATTTAAATGGATGTCAAGGAATATGTCAATTCAGGTGGGATGGGTAAGGAGATCTGCCAACAGTTTGGCAGATAGCTTAGCAAAACAAGGGGTTCAAAGAACATATATGTTTTGGGCACATTTGTCATTCTGTACTGGGTCAGCTTACTATGCTGATTTCTTTTGTAACTTCTTGTTGTATCCTAAAGTATTTTTAACCAATAAAATTTTTCAATGTTACTGATCAAAAAAAAATTCTAGTAGGCATTCATCTGGAATGTTGTTCTCAGGTAAAAATAGATTAAAAAAATGAAACTATAGTATTTTCTTTTGTTATCTTAAAACAAAATCTTAAGTAGTTTGAAAATAATTGGGATTGGGATAAAAGATTACTGACTAAAAGAAAGGGATAAAAGAAAGGAGAGCAAAAAAAAACAATAATGTTTAAAACATAAAATTGTGTTTAGTGCTCATACCATGCTAAATAATCATGCATTAATACTTGCACTGTAATTACATCATGGACTACCACATTCTACTAGAAACTATTTAGCAATCAAATGTACATATTTATGTTTTAATTTGTTACATTTTAGAAGACAATCACCTCATATTCCAAGTCACTTATTCTTATTCACCTTGTTGGTATTATTCTTGTTGAAGTGATGTAGCTGGACATTTCTAACTACATAACTAAACGTGAAAACAATGTTTTGGTCATATATAAAAGAATTTTATTATATAAACTCCATAGAACTAAATTGACTATGGAAAAGAAAATTAGAGGCTGAAAGTAAATACTCTAATGAATGCAATAAAAAAATTGGTAATTCCACATTACTTTAAAATTATAAGGGGATAAAATGGAGTTCATTTTTATAAGATTGAAGTCATTAGCAACACAGAAATGGTATTTAATTCAATGGTTTATCTTCTTCCTCCTTTAGAATTGGGAATCTAACACCGTATTGTTGCAATTAGACTTACAGGAAAGACAGCTAGATCTTGCTAATATCAGATATTAAAAAAAAGGCAGGAAGGCAAGAATACACCATTTCTCCTGCATCTATTGGGCTTTGCAAGTTGGATTTTGAAGGTTTCAGCCTTGATAAACCTGGGAACTCAGCAATAAGGCAATGGGATTCCCGGCAAGCAGAAATTCTGCACACACTGTGCGAGCCACACTTTGGGAACATCTCCCCATGAATTTAACATATATGAATGGGAGATATTCTCAATGTGTGGCTGGATTCTATGTGGGCAGAGCTTTTGCTTGCAGGAGATCCGGGTTCAACAATAGGAGGGGTATTTAGAAACCATAACGGTGAAATAACTTCTGGTCCTGTGGGGATAGGATAGTCTTCATGTTCTGGATGACTATCTTTTCTTTAAGGCCTTAGGCTAGGGTGTTCATCTGGCTACTCATGTACACAGGTGAAGGGATATTCCAAGTTGTAATTGGTTTGTTGAGAAATAACTTGATTCCATGGCAGCAATAGCGTTGTATATATTATAGAAGCAATATCTTTGGCATGTAATCTGCAAGCTTCCTTCTTATGGGTACAGAGATCTGCAAAATTGCAAATGATATGGTGGATTCCTTACCAGATGGGGAATGCAGACAAAGTAGCTATATTGGGAGCCATTGCCCTACTATAGCATTTGAGTTGTTTGGGTGGGTTTTATATGTTAATTGTGGGAGAGTAGCAAGAGGACTAGTTCTCATATTCTTTCTTTCTTTACTTCCCTATTCTCTTTGGAGGATGTCGTTACCCTCTAAATTGAAGTTGTATAGTTTATTTTTGTCTTACATAATTAAAATCTATGATAAGCTACAACTCCAAAAAAGGACAAAAAGCAGTAAATGACCTGGACAAGAGAGAGAGAGAGAGTAGAGGGTTATTTGGTTAGATTTTTTGAAAAATAAAACATAGAAAAAATAAATTTACAAAATACTCTCTTCTTTTGTTTTCCTCATTCTTTTCTTTTCATTTATTTGGTAATTTCATTTTTGTTTCTTTATTGTTTTACCCTTTTTTTGTTGTTGCAATAGTAATTGTTCTGTGTAGGGATCTTCTGTCCAATTATTTTTGGTATTTTCTAGTGTTTTGTCCTCAATAATTTGAATTAATTTATTACCTCCTAGCTTATATGATATAATGAATAGCTAATGTACAAGATTGATGCCCTTTGTTGTATAAAACATTACTTGGTAACAAAGACAACATTTAGACCCTTTTCTAGGTATATAATGTTAGAATTCAAAAATTATGAACTATTTTAATAGTATATACTTTTCCATAGACAGAATGTTTTATCATCTTGATGAGTCAGAATCTTGGACACATGTTGAGTTCCAACTCACATGTCCTTATCCATGCAACACTGTTTGCAAGGGGTAATATATCAAGTATTGTCAGAATTATCTGAAGCTTGGCTGAGAAAATAGAGACACTGCTTCACTTAATCTGGTAGTTCTGATTCATTAAAATCATGATCTTCCCAGAACTGTTAAGTTGCTTTCTCTACTGGTCTCCGTTTTATGTTGTAACTTTTCAACTGTAGAGCCTTCTGAAACAGATAGGAACACAACTGTAATTTTATGAAAAATTTATTATAAAGCACCATCAATCATCTGGATCCAATTTTTCTAACCAAATCCACCATTGTATGCATCCCACCGTAAGTCCTTAAAATGAGTTGGAATAATAACAAAGGGGCAGAATGGTCTTGAGAATAAATGTTTTTAGCTATACTTTTCTTTCATGAAATTTTTTTTATATCCCTTGTACATCAAAAGAAATGCAGAAATAAGAAAAATCATTTTATGCATCATTTTGGATGGTGAAGAAAATAATGAGAGCCATCATTTTGGGAGGAAAGGAACTTAAGAATCTTTGAGGATAAGGAAAGAAGCAAGGAAGTAATCTTGGAGACTGTTACAGTTAGAGTGGCTCATTGGGTGAAGACTTTGAAACTATTCTCTGATTTCTCAATTGAAGACCTTTTTTGAAACTGGGGTCTATTGCCCCTTCTTCTTATAGGAATCAAAAGGTCTTGGATGTTGGTCTCCCCCAAGTGAAGGTTGGGTGAAACTTAATTCTGATGGAAGTAGTTTTGATAATCCGGGTCCCTCTGGAATTGGAGGAGTGATTAGGGATGGGAGTGGGAACATTTGTGGCTTGTTTTTGGGGCCTATTGAGCAGGGTGGTTCAGTGAAAGCCAAGTTCATGGTGGCTATTGTTGGAGTGCAAAAATCCAAGGAAATGGGGATTACAAGATGATAGTAGAACTGTAGAAGGGGACTCAAAAATAATCATTGACTGGCTGAAAAAAGAAGGGGTATTATGGCACTTCAGAAATGAATTCAGGCGGTTCAAGATGCTATCAAGGCATGTGCAAATTCAGTTAAGATGGGTTAGGAGGTCTGCTAATGGTTTGGCAGATGTTTTTAGCTAAAAAAGGAGTGAATAGACATCATTTGTTTTGGGCTCAATGTTTTAGTTGGGTGGTGGGATTATTTGCTGTAATGGGTGTTATTTTTAACACTCGAAAGATTGCTGTAGCAGTCCTAGGTTTAGTACGAAATTTGTTCAAGAAAAGAAAAAGAAAAAAGAACAGAGGAGAGGAAGAAGAAGAAAAGGAGAAGACAAGAAAGAATGATAGGAAGAGAGAGCAGAATGAATAGGTTCTGCCGCCCCTTCATTGGCTATTATATGACTTAATAAAAAGATGATACAATGACAAAAATACCCCTGTTGACTGTGACAGAGAAAAACAAGAACAGCAACCTGGAATAATTACAAATAAAGATGGGGAGCATATAACTGCATATAAAAAACATATAAAAACAATTAAATATCCCTGTCTACATCTCTACATTAACAACTTGTACTCTTCTCATTTTAAGCTCTAATAAAGTTCTTCGAGTCGCTAATCAAAAAAAAAAAAAAGCCATCTATAAATAAATGATGAAGATGGTTATCCAACAAAGGAAGTTTTGGACCAGGAAATGCTTAAAGAAGTTATTATTAGATGGGGTATCCCGTCTTATCAAGAAGGCCTTGGTTTCCTTTTGCTAGATTTGGTATAATAAATTTTAGATCATATGGACGGTTCTTGTATAGTTGTATAGCTAGGCATAGCCCTTTGGGTACTCTGTACTCCATTAGACTGAAACAAAATAACTTTATCTAGAAATTGCTGCTGATTTCTTTTTATACTACTTATATTCCATTTAGGTCAACAGCTTCCGTTTGATTATACAGGAAAATGCTCAGGAGAAATTCATGAGGATAAAACATGCATACAATACATTGCTGAATTCTGAAACTCGAAAGCATTATGATTCTGGAAGTCAGGCATACAATTACTCCAGATCGCAAGCTGAAAGAAACCAAGATGATGAGTTCTATGGATTTGGTATTGACTCCTTTACCGAAACCCATATGGTTTATGGCATACTTGTTTTGAATTATATGATATGGATTCAACTATGATATGGAAAAGCAACTGACCAATAAACTAGAATCATAAACATGGTAGCAAATCAGGTGTTATTTATCAAGATTCATGGGTGGCTTTTGATTGATCAAAACTCTTTCCATACCATATCTTTGTCACATCATAGGTTTTCCCATATGATATACATTGCATGCAGTTCAACACTAAAAACCTTTCAATGCAACAGCATCAAATGGAATTAGGATACTAGCATCACACGCATATGTGGATCACATGTCATTATGGATCACACTTAATAGAAAATTTATGGAGCAAAAATTGGATGAGTTAGTTGACTCTATCTGGCTATTTCTCGATTGCTTTTTGACAATAAGAATATATATGGTCAAGATCCACATAAAAAACTTAGTTTGAGCTTTGAACTCTTGGCTGATGAGTTGTGACATTCACCCCATCAGGCCACCACAGAGAAAAAGTAAAAAATATAAATAAGTAGAGATCTCCTTAGTGTAATCCATCAAATACTGAGTCCTATTTCCCTGCTTGTGAGTTACATGTACTGCTGACCTGTGCCTAATATTACCTGAGGGCATGGTATTGTGACCTCATTCCATTTTGTATATTTTCCTCAAAAAGGTCAGGTTTTTTTAGTTTCTTATGCTTAACCCATTCATTCTGCAGGTAACTTTTTGAGGGATGTTCAAGTAACAATAGGTAGATTTGTTTTCATGTGACCACATGTAACTATAAATTTTCTCGTATCAATCTTAAATCTTATATGGTATTTTCATCTTTGTTACTAGAGAAAACCTATATTCGTATGTTTCATAACCTGATTTTCAATGATGACAGAGGACTTCTTTAGAGATCTCCAAACAGAACTTCAGAATTGGGAATCTAATGCTGGTTCACAACAGAAGCCGAAGAGCTTGTGGGAAGAACTGGCGGTGAGATATTTTCATTTTAGTAATTGTACCTTTCCATATGAAGTTAGTTTAAATGGACGTGGATATAGGAATCAGAATCAGACATATCTGATGTAGCAAGATGAAATGACTGAATGACATGTACAGATAAAAGTATATACATGGTTTTTGAACTATAACATCTTATACTTGAAAAGGGTCTTAAAGTTTATCTTTATTAGTTCTAGGCACGTGCATCAGGAGCCTGGATCTCCTGAAAGCAAAAGCTCTGAGAGCACGGCACCCAGCTGCACATCGGGAATATCTTCAACACATTTATGTTAAATTCATTGGGAGATGTTCCCAATGTGCGGCTGGATGCCTGTGCTTCATTGTTCGCAGAGTCTTTGCTTTCAGGAGATCCTATCTTGTACATTATCTGTTCATTTATATCAAATAAGAAAGATAAAATAATAAATGCCTAAGTGTCCTTAAGGGATCTATGGAGTGCCAATCTAACATATTCTGACATGCACACTTCATTCATTTTGGGGAGTCCATGCATTACTGATTGAAGCTCAGTATTATTTAAAATATAAAGGGGGAAGAAGTTTCAGTATTTTTATCTTATTGGCTAACATGCTGGTTTACTAGTATAAAACACGGACAAGAAGTCTGTATAGGATCCAAAGGTTCAGAGTATCGATAAATTAGCATAGTGAGAATTTACAGTATGGGTGATCATTTCAGCCCCGCCTCCAAAACCTGGCCCAGCCGTCCCGGTACCTAGGGCTGGGCCTAGGCTATATAGCCGGCCCTTATCATAGGTGCAAAGCAGGCACGGCCCATGATGACCCTACTTTACAGCATTTGATAATCTTCTTCCTTTTTTATTGTTTTATTTGATAATTTGGTAAAGGAAATGCCACATCCAAAACAATCAAAAAGGTCAAATTATCATGATATTAGGTATTGCCGTATTGCTAACCCTGAAAAGTGATGCATATCATAAGATACGCTGTGATTCATATTGATACTTTGAACCTTGATACGACCTTAAACAAGAAAAAAGGATCTAGTATAAGAATATCACTGCTTACTATAATCTCTATTTTTGCAGGATATAGGGGAAGAATTTGTGGAGTTCCTGGAGAAAGAGCTAAACATCACTGATCTGAATGGCGAAGCAGAAAACAGCAATGAAGGGCCTCTTAAGGGTGGATCATATGCAAAATCTGGGGCAGAGACAAAAGAAGATATTGGAGATGAAACAGACAAGAAGAGTAGCATTGAGGACAACATTGACGAAATTGAAGCCGCTCTTGCCCAGTTAAAAAAGGAGTTGGGGCTTTAAAAGATGCAGCTATGCCACTTTTGAGTTGTTGGAGTAGAGAAGAAAGAAATTTGCCACAGTTTGTTTCTCTTCACAAGGGTTGCAACTTGCAAGGTTTTTGAAACACGTGGATCTCAGAATGTAACTTGGTTCCCTTTTCACAAATCCATTGGGAATATGGCAGGAGGCGAGGTGGGGAAGGCATTTGTGATGCGGAATATAGTCACATACACATGCATACGAGCATCATCTCCATTTGTTTTTAAGTAGATTATCCTAAACAGCCAGAAATCTATAGTTATGGGAACGAGCCTAAATCATTTCTGCCCATGAAGCATCATCACTTGTATATTTAAAATGATATATTCCTTTCTCAAGTATGTTATTATTGTAGTCTAGAATTCAATAATTCCTAATCGAAAGTTCCTTGTTTCGGAATTTATTAAACTGTCGATATACTATTAAAAAAAATAAATAATTTGATATAGCCTCCACAACCCTTTCAGGTTTAATCATAATTTACATCTCTGCTTGGGTTCAATTGTTTGGCCACGAATTCCTGCAGAAACCAGATCAAGTTGCAGACGCATGAGAATCCGTTAATAATGCTGGTATCCAATGCTGGCATTGCAAAACAGTGCAAGTCTCCACTCTCTAGAATCTAGATGAAAGGAAAGGCAGTGAGTTAAATAATTTAAACACGCAGTGAGTCCCCATCCATTCTTTGCCAGGTTTTTTTACTACATCGGTGATTTAAATATCAGATTGCGATGTCTAATATTATAGTACTGGGGTTTCTTTTTATGCCTAAAAAGGCAGTTTCCATTCAATAATGCTCAGCAATACAAATGAAGTTGAAGTTGCTACAATCAAAAAGGGAAATAAAAGTGACAACAGTCAACAGAAAGAAAACCTAACACTTTAGTACTCGAGATTTTTTACTAGAATGAAAATGCATATGAACATATGTTACGGGAAACCTAAAATTAAAAAATAAAAAATAAAAACTTCAAGTTGATCCAATATAAAGTTTCTCACTCAACTTGTGGGCTCTAGATAAACTGTTCTCGCCTACCGCACCAATAGAAATTAATCTTAAGCAAAATTGAAACTAGATGTCTTAAAATCATTCGATACTCTTCCTCAGAATCTCTCTCCGAATCGGAAAAATACTGCACCGGTGCCAGCATTATGATCAACAGCATATTCAGCTCGTACTAGACCTAACTTCATGCCAACACCATACGATGAGCCATTACCTGCTCGCCGGTAGAACTCTGTTGGGTTCCCCTTGACGTCCTTTGAACTTCCCAAATCGTTTCCATGTTCTGCAAATGCGTAGACGTGTGTGTTCCTCACAGGTATCCGTAGCTCAGCGGCAAGCTGCACCCAGGATAAAAGAGTTGAAAGCATATTTATGTCATACAAATTAATGATTTTTAAGTGTCAGTGAACAGTGAAGGTGCCAACTGGCCTGTTTGGTTGTAGCAGAGACATGAGATCAATTCCCGCCTTCACTCAGGTAGGGGATGGGGTGGAAATTTTTGACCCATCCACCTGCCCACCCAAACCCAATCATTTAAAATGTGGGGTTGAATATGGGCTGACTGACACACTGAATCCAATAAAAAGGGTTGGGTTAGGGGTATCCATCTGGGTGAATGAAATAAGTCATGTAAAATTTACATCACCATCTTTTTTACATGTGTACTTCCATTCAGTCTATGACAGGTGTCTGATCACAAGTGTGGCCTCAAATGGATAGGTATTTTTACACACTGTAATAGGAAACACATCGCATACTGAATGGAAGTGCAAAGCCCCAGTATACAATTCACTCCTTGCTGGGAAAAAATTCAGACAACCCGGGGTTTGATCTTTGAAAGGAGTAGATTTGGAGCCAACACAAGTCTCAGTTTGGAAAGAGTACAAATGCATATGTACAGTACAAATACAAACAAAATAATACAAGGTTTTGCACTCTACATATTTGCATTTGTACTCCTTCCAAACTGAGCCTAGGCTGTGTTTGGTTGCAATGCAAATAAATTTGCACTGATGCGAAACGGTGGCAGTGCAAATGATTTCAGTGTTCTAACCTATTCTGGTTTCAAATTTTAGCTTATTTTGTTTGATTGCATTACAAATGAAGTAAATTAAGAGATGAAACAGAATAAAGTAAAACCCAAAACAAAATCACACGAGAATTGTATTTATTTTATTTGCACTCCCATGCATTTGTACTAGTGCAAATAAAACTTCAGTGCAACCAAACACAGCCTAAGTAACAAAACCAATTGAATGAAGGTGAATGTCCAAAATTTTTCCAAAAAAGGTAAATGTCCGATCATGGATTGGATTATTTTATTTCACATGTTTCCTTGGCTATCTCAAAGAATGTTGCAGACTGCATAGTTCTGATGGCCCTAGTTGGAACCATGATGATAGCACCTGAGGTACAATCTGTAACATCTAAACCAAAATGGTAGAATGGGTGATTCTGGTGTCTCAATTTGGTCTATTTTAGTAAAAGAAGCCTTCTGAGCAACAATTGACAATTGTTACCTTTGCCTACCAATGCCTTGTACTGCCAATTGACACTCATTTTACAATTCATAGGGAATCCATTCTAGGTTTAAAATAATACCAACCTCCAGGATATTTCTGCAAGCTCCAAGCTCACCCATGTTGTAACCCCTCACAGAATAGGGCCCACCAAGAGTAAAAGCATCATAACTTGGGAGATCACCCACACAACCACCATAATGGCCATGAAGGACCAATACAGGGGGTGGTGGTTTTCCAGCACCTTCCTCTACTTGCTTCAACTGGATGAATTGGGTCACCGTTAATTGGTGGCGATTAAAGAATGGGAACTTGCTGCCAATACCAAGGCCCTGATCCAGCTGCAGTTTATACATGGACAAGCACATTAATAGAGAAACTAAATGGTCTAGTAAATGCATAAATTATAGGAAAACTTGAATATGACTAAATTCACAGAGAACCAAGGATAACATGATTTAGCAATACAATTATCATATCAATTATTATGACACTAACTAAACTACTTGTCTTTCGATTAAACCTTTTAATATCAATGGACAAAAATAATAGCCATTATTATAACAGAAATAGCTATTAGCAATAACAGATAAAATTCTACCAATCAAAAGGCACTTAGAAAGGTGTACACCTCACCTCTTTTGCACTTTTAAGCCAATTTTTTTAAATAAAAACATCATAAATAGAACTGAGGCACCACTTCACCATGTTCCTTTTTTTTTTATCAATCATTTCACCATGTTCCTCATTACATATTAACATAATACAGAGGAAGAAAACCCTCCAATGGAAACGGGGCACCATTGTTTTGATTGCTTTCAATGCTCTACATTTATTTGAATATGAAACAACACATTTTTTTATCTAAGCACCTATAATTTACCAATGGATATGGCATAAAACAAAATGGAATTGTGAAACAGGATTCATGTAGCCAACCCTATAGGATAAGGTTTTGGATGAGGATGAAGATTACAATTGTTTATGTTAATGTTATGCAATTTGATGTGAACCGTTAATTCTAAAACTTTGATTTGCAAGTGATGTGTTGATGGCTGATGGAAGTATGGATATGATACTTCAATTTTATATTCAACTATGATGCTTTTATTACTAGAAACCACAAATATGAAGTTTTCTAGTTTCTCATAAAATTTTCCATTTTGGGACATTTAGTATATATATTTATTTATTTTAATTATTTATTATTTATAATTAAAAACATCATGCTTGGGGCGCTTATGCCTCTTGTTTTCTAGTTTACATTTTACACCTAGCACCTTAGTATATTGGAAAACCTCCAGATTTTACAATAGAGGTCTTGTTTTTCTACAATTGGAATATTTTTAAATACTATAGTATCCACTTTTTATAATAAAACAAAATGCTCATAAATGGATAAAAGAAGTCTACAAGTATACAACCATTCTGGCCCCAGCTACAAAAGAAGAAAACTCCCAACCAAGGTGCAAGAACACAAATTGAAATGCTAACATTCTTTTATCGGTAATTGAAATGCAAACATGGTATCAAACCAACACTCTAATCTAACAACTGCACCCTGCACAACAAAATTCTGATTCTTCAACCAGACAGAATGAACCTATAAATATAATTAAGCGCAAGCAAGATAAAGAATAAAAAGCAACCAAATCCAGCAATGCAGAACCATGCAAACCCAACCGAGGCATCAACCAACTAGACGAATGATATCCTCAACATAAACCTACTCTTACAAATTTCAAACACCAAGATAAAAGCAACAACCCAATTAGCTAGCTTCCACTTCCCTTACTCATCTAACTCATCCATTATATTTTGTCCAGGCATATTCGACAGGAATTGTGTCATAGTTTATTATAGTGATATTAACTGAATATTGGCTGTTAAAATGTATCAATTCATATTCCACTCCACAGGAATTGTATTCTTTCAACATTTGGATCACAAAACAGGAGGCAAGCTTGCAATTTGCAGTTTCCAGGCCAATTTTTACCATAATTTTTTATTGGTAATTGACCACAAAATATATAGATACCCATATATTTAATACAAGGATTCAAACAATTCCTTAAAATTCTGATGCTGCTGCTCAGAGGGCAAAAAACAATTCCTAGAGCAGTTAGAAGCTCTGCTTTCGAGAAATAAAGAGACAAATTAAATAGCCCATTTGGGATCTACGTAGGAATAAAAGTGCCTCCTTTCTAATTTTGTGCTAAACATAGCTTTGAAATTTCAATGTCCCTAGTAAGCTTTTTACTGCTAGAGCAGTACAAAACCTAGAAGACTTTCTTTTATGAAAGTACAAAAACTTCTACCAGCATGTTATTTTTCAATTGAGCAACTTATACAGAGTAATTTTCATATGATTTTTCTAAGGTGTAAAGAAATCAGTGTAACAAAGGCAGTCTGATCACATAAATTATTCACCTGAAACACATTCCTCTGACCAACGATTGCCCCATTGACAAATTTGGTATTGTCGCGAGTAATGTTTGCCTGTGCAAATGCCATTCGATCAATACCAGTACCACTAAGGGTTGTTGGAGGCCCATCTGCACTGATTCCACCACTTGGCAATTGCCGCTGCCCATGTGCAGAAATATGGCTGCTTTCATCACGTGTTGTAATCTCTTCCATCACAATTCCATAAGTGAATTTACTCTGGCGGGTAAAGTTCTGCAATGTGCAAGAGAATTCAGAATGGCACTCTACTGCCTGAGTTTACAGCTTCCAAGCTTGTATGGTTAATAAGATATTATAATGGAAGCATTACAACCCACCTCTGTGATATTGGCCTTGAAACCTGCTCGATCAACCCATATAGGTGGAACTTCATCCACGCCAGGTCCACCTGTGAATACTGGACTCAATTTCCTACTGTTGAAGCAGCTTGTACGAAAGGTACGGTTTCGGGGATTGTTCACACCATCAAGATATGGGTGGACATACTCAAGCTTGAAAGCAAGATCATCCTGAACAAGTATACAAGAAAATCATGGCACATGCTCTTAAGGGCATGTAAAAACTTAACACATATTATGTACATTTCAAATATATAAATTACCTGAGGATTGAAGAAGTTGCTGGTAGTTACTGAACCAAGAATGGATYTGTTTAGCCCCTTGATATTCCTATGCTCAAAGGAAACAGTTCCTGCAGGCTGGATTGAAGCCTGAAGAAGGAAAATTCCAACACTATCCATAATTAGCAAAAGGAAGATATGTATAATAGTTTACTGAAGCTGTAGAACCTTCACAATGTGCAATTGTGAATTTATGATATAACCAACAAATTTCAAGAGATGTTATTTAAATACCAGAGTAGGGCGACCTTGACGCCCAGGCACAATACTCCATTCCGTGCTGACTTCAGCTGTCTTTTGTTCAAGCTCCTTAAGCTTTATCTCTACTATGATGCCTCCGTCATTCTTTTCATCCGGCCTTGGATTCACTTCAATATTGGAGAACAAAGCAAGCGAATTTATATTCCTGAGGGCTTGTTTCCCAGCTTCTATGTTAAAGACATGGCCTTGTCGAAGCTAGAGAACCGAGCATTCAGCATTTGGGTTAGTAAACATATAAAGAAACAAACAACTAAGATATCAATCCAGGTGAATCTAAAGAAATATGCATTCAGAAACCAAAACCAGTTACCTGTTTGGGCAATTCTCTCCTCACAACTGCAAGTTGAGTGTTCCCCTCACAGACATTGCCCAGCTTGTCCTGGAACTGTATCACCAACTGCGTAATATCTCCCTCCACTACCTCACAGACAACCTCCCTTGTATTCAGATTTCCAAAATTCACCACCTGAGCGCATGCATATCCTTCGTCGTGGTACCACTTCTGGACCCGGTCCCGAATTCTCTGCAGCAACCTGGCGCTCACCTTCCCCTGTTCCCTCAACATCTGCAAGACCTCCCTGTGAACAGGATGAGGCAACAAACAAGGTCTCGCCCTCTCAATCCTCCTCTTGTAATCTTTCTCCTGACTCCGAAAATACTCCAATTTCTCCTTATCGGTCATGTCAGGATCCATCTCGATCGGCTTTGTCTGTGGCATCAATCCAACATTAATGCAACGGAATGCATCGGCCGACTGCCAAGTGCTTTCTGTGAAAGATATCGTGACACCAATGGTTCCATCGGGCTTGGTCTTCCCCTCAAGATCAACTTTTTCGAACATTCCGCACGTAGCTAGGGTTTCGAGCTCCTTCTGAAGGTGTGCCTTAGTGTAGATACCACCAGGCCGGAGGGAGACCATCTCGAAGAAAGAATCTTCAGTGCCGACAGTCGTCCATCGCCGTCGATCAAAGAACAGAATCTCGGATACCTTGTATTTCTTGAGCCCACTAAGTTTGTTGAGTTGAACAACAATGTTGGCGGGAAGACCATGAGAGTCCCATTCTTGAGATTGGGATTCTTCTTCCTTGGCGATGGCAGAGGGAGATAATAGCCTCGACCAGAAATTTCCATTATCGTTACCTTCACCGCCATTCCAACCACCACCGCCTCCGCTGTCGCCGCCACCGGTGAAATCGCCATTGCCAGTACCATTACCAGAGACAGGGAGTATAGAACGGATGGAGGAAAGGTGGAAAAGGAGACCAGTGGCAGCAGAGAATCCTAGGGTTTTGGTGATGGAGGAAAGGGTTTTGTATGATGATTTTGAGGCTTCTGGGTTTTGCCCGGAGGAGACTTGGCATTTGATAGTAGAAATAGAGGAGGATATAGCTGCGCTGTTGTTGTTAGTGGAGATGGTGGTGGCGGCGGTAGTGGTGGTGGCAGTGGCTATTCTACGCCGAGATCGGAGGGATGGGCCGAGGCCTGGGCTCAAGAGCTGCCCGGGAGCGTAGAACGCCATTGAGTAGGTGGAGATAAGAAAGAGGAGCGAGAGAGAAAAAAAAAAGATTAGGGGAGAGGCAAGGACATACTGACATAGGTCTTCGCGATCTGGTCAAGAGAGGCGAGGCGAAATGGCCCGTAGAGGCGAGGCTTAGATTTTCTTGATTTTTTTTGGCTAAATTGCTTGAAACTCACTTGAAGATTCTAATCATTGCTGAAATCTTTTCTAAAGTTTAGTAATTGCAATCATTTTCGCTGAATTTTTTGACACAATTATAAATAAAATCTTTTGTTAGAATTTGCTAATAAGAGATATAAAAATATTTAAAAGACTCATACAAAGTCCCGTTCTTATTGAAAAAAATAATAATTCAAATTTTATAAATAAAAAAAAAAAGAAAATTTAAAAGTTGTAGCAAACTCCGGGGGAGGTTTTAGCAATTTACTCTTTTTTTTTGAAAATAAAAAGCCTTTTAAGATATAAGTCCCTTTGTAATTTTTCTGTAACCATAATTAACAAAAACGCATATATTAACACATACAAATGATTTTTATAGTAAAACTATGTCAGAAATCTTAGGGGAAGTGATATACATTACCAAACTCCGGGGGAGGTTTTAGCAATTTACTCTTTTTTTTTTAAATAAAAAGCCTTTTAAGATATAATTCGCTTTGTAATTTTTCTGTAACTATAATTAACAAAAACGCATATATTAACACGTAAAAATGATTTTTATAGTAAAACTATATAATAACATTTTATTATGTATATGTAGTTCAATATAAAATCCTTATAGTTTTTGATAGGCAAATGTGGTTGTCATACACTCACACTTGTTAGAAAATGTATCAGCATTCTTGGATTAGTGGCTCAAACCACCAAGTGTTATAATATTGAGCATGGGGATGAGAATGACACTTTCAAGTGGAATAGCATGTTTGGACTCTTCTCTTTTAGATTTGTAATCTTTTGAGATATATTACAGATTTTTAGATTTCTTTGGTTTTGTTTATAGTTAATGTAATAAATATTACAATATAATTGAATAATTAACAATTATAGAAATTTGGCATCGTTTTATATTTTTTATCATTTTTATTTTATTTATTTATTTTTGCTTAATGGCCTACAAATACTACAAGGTAAGGGTTAGCATGGGTCATTTCAGTTTGGTTCCAAGGTTGAACTGGGAAACTATCTTGTAGGGTTTGGTTTCAAGTTTTTGGAATCAAAACTTATCCTGTTGAGGTAGATTATATGACAATTATAGCACTAGTGGTTCTAGCCATGGTTTTGAAAAATTGGACCAGAAACTGAACCACTTTGGCCACCAGTTCTCGAGTCAAACAATCTAGTCTAGTCAAATTTTGAAAACCATGGTTATAGGGTCTACTCATGGAGCTCATTCTTTCTCTACCCCCGAAAAAAACATAAATTGTTCTTTAAAAACTTGATTTTTAATAATAATAACAATAATAATAATAAGGGCAAATTTCTAAAACTACCCTTACTGTTTAGCTAATCGACCAACTATACACTTAATGTTTAACTATTGTCTTAAACCACCCCTACTTTTTTGATAATTACCATCGTTGTTAAATTGTAACAAAAAAAGGGTGAAATGTCAATTTTGCCCTTGTGTTAAGAGAAAATTTGCGGGAAAGACGAATATGAGAAGCCAAAAAGTTTAGTTTCCGGTGGCGATGGAGGATAAATTGTTGGTATAGTTTCCGATGGCAATGAGCTCTATTTGGCGAGTAGTTAGTGACTTGAATCATCCTTGAAAGTAGGGTTTCGAACCCTTGTCCTTAGGCCTATAAACGGTATTCGGAAATCTGAATTTGAATATGAGATTCGGCATAATCGAATTCGGATTTTCAATCGAATTCAAAGACCATTTGTTTACCGATTAAATTATCGGATCGAATTCAGATATGCATTGATCCGAACCGATTATATATATATATGAGGTAAAAAAGTAGAAATACAATTTTAGAATTGAGAAATGAGACATTTGAAGTTTTGACATTCGAAGTCTTCACTCTCCATTTCCTTTCAAGTTTCAAGTTTCAACTTTCAAACCCTGACCCTAATCCTCCCTTTGCTGTGACGTTGTTGCCACCCGAGCAACCACCATCACCGGCCATTGCCCTTCATCCTCTAACCTTCGCGGCTCCGCCTTTCCTCGATCATCTCTCATCTTCTCTTCTATCTCTCAACCCCGCAGTCTCTCATCCTCTCCTATATCTCTCGGTCTCAAAATCTCTCATCTTCTCCTCTATCTCTTAGTCTCATTGCCACCGCCCAAGTAACCACCATCACCGACGACAGCGTCAGTGATAACGGTCRAGCTCCGGTCACCAGCCACTACGGCACTACCATCTCCTTCGCCACTACTCAACGCCTCAAGGCCCTCAACCCAAGTTTAGCTAATACTGCATTTGTATGTCTGCAAGAGTGCCACGTGCCAATAGTCCAGCATCACCGACCATTGCCAACACTGCAATCGCATTTGCATTGAGGGAACGCACGACTGCCGCCGTTACACACTCACACTTGGCCCACCGCCTACAGAGTCTACAATCTCCATCTCAATCCCTTGCCTCTTTTTCAAGGTAAATTGATTAGTTGATTTATGAATGCTGATGAAAAATATTCATTTTCCTATAAAATATATTACAGATTAACATTGATTTAGATAATGATTTTATGGTTTATGGTTATGATAGTATGCTACAGACTTTTTTATGCTAATCCTAACACCATTTGATTTAGATAATAGTTTATTGATTTATGGTTATGTTATAGATTTTTTATCCTAATCCTAATATCATTTGATCAAGATACGGCTATGTATTAGAGAAAAATTAGAAGTTTAGAACCAGTTAAATTTCAAATTTTGTATATTGTAAAACATTTATTCGAATCTAATTGGATTCATATTCGAAAAAGTCAAGTAATCGGTCGAATTTGAATCAAATCGAATATTCAATTTAATAATTGAAATCAAATTTGAATTAATATATTTGATATCCGTTGGATATCGAATCGAATTCGAATATTGTTATTTATAATTGGTTTCAAATTTGAATCTAGCCTGATTCAGTTCAAATTCGATCCGTTTACAGGCCTACTTGTCATTGTACTTGTTCTTTCTTTACGACTCTTTGTCAGCTCCGACAACGGATTGGTTAGATGCCGTCAAGATAGCAAGAAGATTAGTAGTTATGGTTCAAGGTCAGAGTCCCTGGACGTGGAGCATAGTTCTTTGTGTTGTTTCACTAGCGTGAGCATGAGTAGTAGCTATCACAACTTGTTAGGCGACAGCTCAGTTTTGGTGCTCAGTTTGTAGGTGGTTGGTCCCTATCTTGATCGATTTTTTTTCTTTTCTTATTTCTAAAAGATTTGGCAAAGGAAATTTTTACATTGTCTGCATTGGGAATGGCAATGGGGCGGGTTCGGGGCAGGGATTACATTCCCCTTCCCCGACCCTGACCCCCAAATCACCCCCCATCCTCATTAGGGAAAGAAATCCCCCTTCATCCCTGACCCTGATGGGGATGAATTCCCCGTCGGAGACTCGAATCCCCAAGTTTGTAGCCATTAACAAAGCAAAAATGCTGAAAACATAAACGAACGAGAGAAATAGAGACTGAGTCTGAGAGCCTAATGCTGAGAGAGAGAAAGAGACAGAAGACCGTTGCGAGTTGAGGCCGGCGATGAGAGAGAGAATCCGACGAGCGACGGCAACGGTGGTCGACGACGATAGTCAAAGGTCGAAGGAAGATTGAAGAATTAAGTTTCAGTTCTTTCTTCTTTGAATATCTTTGTCCTTTGTCGAGACTCGAGTGGTAGACTGGTAGTCGATGACGATAGACATCCAACCTCCGACAAGCGAGTGGCGACAGCGATGGTGGTCGGCAAATCGGCAACAAAGACGAAGGAAGAAGAAGACTAGGGTTCACGGACTCACGATTCAGAGTTCTCTGTCTGTGTCTGTCGAGTGTTTGTGTTTTTTAAGTTTTAATCGTTAAAAATAAATGAATAATAATATAATAATATAATATAAATATTACATAATATTGTATATTATATTAATTATCTAATTATATATTTATTAATCGGGGCCGAGGTGGGGCAGGGATTGCATTCCCCATCCCCGTCCCTAAACTCAATCAGGGATTCAGGGATAGCCCCATCCCCGACCCCGACTCTACTAAAGTATCCCCATACCCGGCCTCATCGGGTCGAAGAGCCCGGATACCTATCGAGGACGGGGAAAATTGCCACCCCTAAGAACAATCTAGGGACTAGGGTTTGAGTTTGATCAAATAAAAACCACTGGAACGCAAGCCTCACTACAAGAAAGAGAACACAGAGCCTCAACTTTTTGTTTTGTTTTCCACCAATAATAATAATAAAAGGGAGAGAATCGATCAAAATCACTACCACCGCTGCAACTTCAGCAGTGACAGTGATATTATTCTTCCTCTACCCCCTTCCCCTCTTCGTTCTCCCTCTCCACCTCCCCTACAAGCTGGTAGAGTGGTCGGAAGTGTCAATGGTGGCAGCCCGATGATGGGAATCTGTACGATCTCATCTATAAGCCATTTGAAGTGACAATTTTCTACTGCATGGGTGTCTAGTGGAAAAGCATCCCTTGCTTGTGCTTTTGAGGCACCGAACCCTCAGTGACCTCGGTGGTTATATGTCCATCATCAATAGATATTGAAGGATGCTTGCACCCAACCCCATCAAAAGGTCTTGCCCTCCGATTTTGAATCACTTTGGTCAGTGCTGATGAATCCAATGAAACTATCTCTTTGTTGTAGAAGGACAAGGAAACAATATTGTAAATCGAAAACCGGTGTAAGGGTAATCTTAGGCCCTATTTAAAGGCAATACCAACTGCTACAACGACCGAGACGTGGACATCCTCTCCCATAAAAGAAGAGAGTAATATTGGGTTTAAAAAAATGTGTCATGTGGTGTCACATGTGTACGGATTTTGACGGATCATTTAATAATGCTAACGGTAGGGTAGGACTAGTAAATTATCATAAAACTTAGGGTTACTCTAAGACAATATGTAAATAGTAAGGGTAGAGTTAGTCAATTAGTTAATTAGTT